TCCCAGTTTTGAACCATGCAGTGTTCCCTTGCTCTGTTCTGACGACTGCCTCCTGGTCCAAGTATAGGTTTTGCATTAGCATGATCAAGTGTTCTGGGATTCCCATTCCTCTCAGAGTCAGCCACAGTTTGTTATGATCCACACAGTCAAATGCCTTTGCATAGTCAATGAAACACAGATAGACATTCCTCTGGTGAATTAATGTGACCCTTCCATTTTGTGATGAAGTATTTATTGTATTAAGGAGAAAGGATTAGGGTGGGGCTACACGCCCTACTTTCTAGGCCTATATAAGCTTGTGAAAGCTTAATACTCGCTCACTCACTCTGTGGGACATGGCAGCTAAGATCATGGAGGCTCAACACCTACTGTCTTGGGATAAGGCAACTAACTTGAGCTATCTGCCCAGCGCCCAACAGCCTACAGGATCCTCACCCATCGCTCTCCAGCTCTGCAGCATTGGCCTACAACACTTTGCCATGTGAGCCGGTTTTTGTGGTTTTTTTTTTTTCTTGGAGAGGTTTTGAGTGTCTGTGAGACTTTACAGTGAATCATGGATTCCAAAAGGAAAATGAGACTGGGGGAACTGGGTAGAGGAGGAATGATTACTGTTAGAGAGGACAGAGTGGAATGGCAGTTTGGGCACTTTACCATTTTCAATCTCTATTCTATAGGAAAGACCTTTTTTCCTAATGATTGTAAAGGAAATTATTCGTGCACTGGGTGCCAGACTAGGAGGACTCATTACAAGTTTTGTACTTAATGTACCATGAAGCTTAAGGGAAGTGGAATGAAAGGATAGAGAAAAACCAAGGATTAAGACAGTTATGTTACAGGCAATTGTTAAGTATGGTTAGTCTGAACTGAGCCATAGTTGACTCTCCAGCAGGTTTTTGAGAGACAGTAAATCACATGAGAGGAGATTGCCCAACTTTCTCCCTCAGAGCAGTGAATAGATTTGAACCAAGTGCCTTTGGTAGTGCAAGGCAGAATATATTCATAGGTTATGGAATTGGTAGATCTAACCCCTGAAGAGTTTGGCTGATAGAATGCATATATAGAAATTTAGAATGATAAGGACAGAGTTAGAACAAGTCATATAAGTTGTTGGTTTTGGTTGAAAATAGCTATAAAAGCAAGGGGAAAAAATATAAGAGCTAAAGTGGCTGATTTTAGCTCTGAACCAAGTGCTCCTCCTGGTCTAAGCTCAGGACCGGGAGCTCTGTTGGCCTAGTAGTGAGGCGTGACTGGCATCTCAGTGATGTCAGGTCTGTTACCACCACTTCCCCATGGGTGTTAGAGGTGCAAGAAATATGGCGAAGGTTACGGGGAAAGGATTTACCTGTCAAGGCTGAGAATTTTAGATGGTTAGCTGAAGGTAAAAGAAGGAATAAATGGGTTTATGCAGTGGGAGAAATCTAGTAGTATTTTTATACCTTAAGAGGTACAGAGCAAGGGAATAACCTCCCGTTAAATATTATCGAAAGAAAGTGAAAACAAGACAAACTTAAAAGTAATGTGTTAAAGTTTATGTGTATATCTGAATGTAGTTGATGTATATTGATCAGAAAGCTGTAAATCTGCCTTCAGGCAGAACTTACCTCTTGATTGTTAACCATTGTTTTCATTTTCTAAATTTATTTTAAGGGAAAAGTTAATCTTTTAAGTTTGAAAGGGCCAGTGGCTGAAAGAACCAAGGAATAGGTTATGGTACAGGGCCCTTGCACCTCTGCCTTCCATTTTGTGATGAAGTTTTTATTGTATTCTGGAGATAGGATTAAGGTAGGATACACACCCAGCCCTACGAGAACTGTGTAAACTCGTTAAAACTCAACAACCCCTCCTTTGGCGCAAACCAGCTAATCCAAGCCAGCTATGCCACAACTCGCCCACTGCTCACCAGTCTCTGCAGCATCAGCCTACAACACCCACAGTCACGTGAGCCATTACTCCGATGAGCTATGAGTTTTTGTGAGACCTGGCAGCAAACCACAGACTCAAGAGACAGAGATGGGAGTGGGAAAACTGAACAGAGGAGTAAATAATGTCAGAGATGATGAAGTGTTACAACAATTTGGACATTTGTCTAATGATTGTAAAGAAATTATTCTTAATTTACTATGCCCCAAACACTGTTAGATACTTTTAACACTTTTGGAAAATTCTGATGTTTTTCTTGCATTACTTTTTTTTTTTTTTTTCATTCCTAAACTTATAAACTTTGGTTGCCTATATGATGGAAAATTTAAACTGGATGGATATAACATACCTTTTGATATTTGTTTAAACTTGCTGGAATATTGATGATAATGCCTTGTCTTTGTTCTATGTTTTGTTTGTTTTAGCCATGAACTGGATATTGATGAAAACCCACATTCAGACTTTGGAAATGGTATTCTAGGACTTCAGCATGGCTCAGGACAAAAGTAATTATTCAGAAATGCTCTTTTCTTTTCAGTACCTTTCCTTATGTCCAAATAGTAAATGTGTATGTTTTGAGTTGTTAAGAACTTACCAGCAACTAGCATCAACAAAAACAGATTTTACAACAAAAAAATTACAGGAATATCACCCTATAGTTAGTATATTTCCGTATGTTAACTAATTTGAACTTTATAGAAGTCCAGTATTACTGGTTTTCATCATAGATAAATCAGCATAGAGGTTGCAGAAGTTTTGACTTAGTCACCAGCAAATCATTTACTGGAGACCCTGTAATATCTAAGTAGAGTTCTCTTTTCACCTGGTGTCTTGGAGTTTAGCAAGCATGCCATGAAAAGTTCAAATCTGCAGTAATCTTTTCTTCATTTTTGTTATGAAAGGAGTTGTGTTGTTGTTGTCTTGTGTCATTGAGTCACCGGCAGCTCATAGTGACCCTATGTACAGTAACTCTGAACCCTGCCCTATCCTGAGCCAATCTTACTGACTGCAATACACCTAATCCCATTGTCTCAGTTACTGTGTCAGTCCATCTCATCCATCTTCCTCTGCTGTGCTATCCCTCCACCTTTCAAATATGATGTCCTTCAAGGACTGGTCTCTCCTGGCCAAGTGCCCAAAAGTATATGAGAGTGAGCTTCAAAATTCTTAACCTCCAAGGAGTAGCTTGGTTTTACCCCCTCTAGGACAGACCTGTTTGTTATCTTGGCAGTCCACGATACATTCAAGACTCTTTTCTAGCACAATTCAAAGGCATGAATTCTTCTTTTGTCATCCTTAGTCATTGTCCAGCTCTCTTATGCACAGCAGGTAATTGCGAAGACCATGGAGTAAAATCCCAAAAGAAATAACTGATAAAAAGTCACAGTCTTTCCTTCACAATATTCCCTGAAAGTCAATCTATGTCATTACCATGGAGTCAGAACTGACTCACAGCTGATCCTCCAGGGGGATTTCAGAGGCTATATAACACACTGGGGGAGATTACCTCTCTTTCTCTCAGAGCATTTGGTGGATTCAAACCACATGCCATTGGGTTGACAGTACTACTCATTGCCCACTAGGCCACAAGAAGTAGGCACTTTAAAAGTTTGCCATACATTCTTCCAAATAGTTTTACTTGTATTTTTATGATTACATGCATTCAAGGAGTCCTAGAAACATAGAGTGTAATGTATTGAGCTTCTGCTAACTGAAAGGTCACCTATTTGAATCCACAGGAAAAAGATGAGCAGTCCCCTCCTGTATATATTTACAGCCTCAGAAACCTGACAGTAGGTAGCAGTGAATAATATGTTAAGTGTGTTATACCTGTTTTTTATAAAATAAAAACATAACAGAGACATACTTACTCTACATAAGCTGCAGCTTACATTTGTCATTCAGCTGTGTACCATGAATACCATCTTTGTTGGGTCACAGAGCATTTACCTGATTTTGGCAATAGAAGCATGATATTTTTCTAGGTTATGTGAACATGTTGGCTGTTTCTCCTTTGGGTCTAATCCATAGATAAGACAATGAAGATCTAAGCACGATATCCTTCAAGTCCATCCAGACTATTGCATGTGCCAGTAGTGCGTTCTTCATTGTTGTATGGCTATATCTGGTTGTTGTTGTTGTATACTGTGGAGTTGGAACTGACCCATAGCTGTCCCTCCAGCAGGTTTTCAGAGGCAGTTAATTGCATGGGAAGAGATTGTGCATCTTTCTCCCATGATCCATGTTAGAGATGTTAAAATTCCCAACTTTGATGTTTCCCAGTTGCTTTAGAATTAACCTAAGAGCTAAATTATTGGCATCTCTCCTTAATTTTTTTCTTAATTTGAAAGAATGATATTAAAATGATGGCAGCTAATAGTGGAATAAAAAATGTGAAAATGTTTTAATTCTTTTTAAAAGTTTTCTTAAACAGAACTTAAGATTTAAATCAACTTCATCTGTTTTGATCCTAGATATGGTGGAATGTCAAAGTTCAGTCATCGGCAGGTGAAGTATCTAGAGAAGAATGTGAAGCGTAAATCAAAGTTCCTAGACATGCGACGACAGATAAACATGGAGAACACACAAGTCGTTCCTGAAGAGTCAGAGAAGATATTGTGCAAGAAAAAAAAAATCTTGACTAAGGTACATGTGAATTTTGTTTTGTATTTGGAAAGTAGAATCTTATTGTGTGAGCTAGATTATCAACCTTTGAAAAATTGTCTTATTCAAGTAGGAAGCTTGTCTCTGGAGATAAAGAGACCTAAAATTCCTTCCCACTTATTTCCTGAAAAACATGCTGTTGTTGTAGTTAGGTGCCATCCAGTGTATTACAACTCCTGGTGACCTTAAGAACAACAGATCTGAACTTTACCTACCTCATACCATCTTCCTGATCTCTCATGCTCAGACTTATTGTAGTAGTCATTCATTTGGTCTCATTGATGATCTTCCTCTCTCTTACTGACTCTCTTACTTCCTCTCTCTTACTGTCTCTGTCCAAGGACTAGATCCTTCTGAAAATATGCTGAAAGTAAGTGAGGCCAAGTTTCACCATCTTTGCCTCTAAGGAGCACTCTAGACGTATTTCTTTCACGCAAGATTTCTTCCTTTGGCAGCATTCTTAATCAGCACTACAATTCAGAGGCTCAAATACTGCCCTTTAGTTCTTTGGTGCTGGAGAAGAGTTGAACATACTCTGGGCTGCCAAGAAAACAAATAGGTCTGTCTTGGAGAGGGTGAAACTAAGTTTGTTATTGGAGGCTAGGATTTTGAAGCTCCATCCCACATAATTTGTGCATGTGGCCAAAAGAGCCTAGTCTTTGGAAAAGGACATCATACTCAGATGGGTGGAGGAGATGAAGATATCAGACGAGATTGATACAGTAAGTAGGGCACTGAGGGGTAAACGGATCAGAATCAGTGAGATTGGCTCAGGACAGGGCAGGTTTCAGAGCTGCTGTATACAGGGTCACTATTGCTCGTAGGCACATAACAGCGTGGAGAGTCCTTGACAGAATATTACCCCTATGCAATACATCTTGATTTCTTGACTGCCAAGGGTGTTGATTATGGATCCAAGTAAAATTAAATCGTTGATAACTTCAATCTCTTTTCTATCACATGATTGCCAGTTTTTACAGTTGTGAGGATTTTTGTTTTCTTGATATTGAGATATAATCTATATTGAAGACTATATTTGGTTTTATATCTTCTGCAGCAAGTGTTTCAAGTCCTCTTCACTTTCAGCAACCAAGGTTGTGCCATTTTCGTAATGCAAATTGTTGCCTGGTTTTCTACCTATCGTGGTGCCACCTTCTTCTTCAGAGAGTCCAGCTTCTAAATGATTTCTGAATGGTTTTGGAGAATGCATACAATTCTAACACACACCTTTTGTGATCTGATGCGATGTGGTGCTCCTTTGTTCTGATTAAATAACTGCTTCTTGATCTTTGCATAGGTGTCACATGACCACAGGTGTTATGGAATACCCATTGTTCTCATGGTAACCATAATATGTTACATCACATTGTCAAATGTGTATGTATAGTCTTTTAAACACAAATAGACATCTTCCTGGTACAAGATTCAGCCAAGATCTATCAGGCATCAGCTATGGTATTCCTGGTGCCACAACCTCTTCTAAATCCAGCTTGAACTGTTAATGTACTGTTCTAGCCATATTTGTATAATCTTATGCAAGATTTTACTTGCATGTGATACTAATTTTTTTTTTATAATTTCCACATTCTGTTGCATCATTTCTTTTTATAAGAGGAACAAATGTGGGTCTTCCAGGCCATTAGCCAGGTAGTTGTCTTCTATATTTCTTGACAGAGACTAGACAGCACATCCAGAGTTGCACCTACTTCTTGAATCATCTCCCATCAAGTCCTGGAGCTATATGTTTTTGCCAATACCTTCAGTATAGCTTGAATTTCTTCCTTTAGGAAGTTGGTTCTTGTTCATGGATCACTTCCTGAAATAATTCGGTGTCAATCAATTCTTTTTGGTACAGTGTCTGTGTATTCTTTCCATCTTCTTTTGATGCTTCCTGAATTCTTTTTTGCTCATAACCTTCAGTATTGCAACTCCAGGCTTGAATTTGTTCTTTAGTTATTTCAGCTTGAGAAATGCTTAGGATGTTCTTCCCTTTTGGTTTTCTAGCTCCAGTTCCTTGCACATTTCATTATTTGCTGATGATCAGGAACAGCACAGTCAGCATCTGGCCTACTGTAATTGCTGATACTGAGCTTCTCTACCTTTCCTTCCACAGATATAGTCAGTCTGATTCCTGTGTAGCCCATCAGGTGAGGTCCATGTATATGTTTGTCTTTTTTTTTTAAATGTGTTTACAATGAATAAATCATTCATTATACAGAATTCTATCATGATATCTGCAGTCTCATTTCTGTCACTCCATCCACAGTTTCCAACTACTATTCCATCCTTGTTTCCAAATTTGCATCCCAGTCACCGGTCTTCCTGTTTCTATGACCTTCTGTCTTTCCTAAAAGGACATTAAGTCTTTCTCCTAGGATTATCCATACCTCAGCCCCCAACAGCATTCACAAAGTATGTGAGACAGGCTTTCACCATCCTTGCCTCTTAGGAGTCACCTCATTGCACTTCCCCTGAGACAGAAGTGCTTGTTCTTTTGGCAGTCTGTGGATTAGTCTGTGCTCTTCTCCAGTACCACAATGGAAAGACATAGCTTTTTCGTTGGTCTTCATTATTCATTGTCCAACTTTAAGATTCATGGTTTGTTGTTATGTGCTGTTGATTGGCCTGTGACTTGAAGTGACCCTCTGAACAATAGCTCAGAACTATCCTGAGCCAATCTCACTGTCTCTGACATACCTTGAAAATTCTGGAGCTTGCATCAGGTGCACCTTGGTCTTTAAACTTACATACTTGTTCTTTAGAACTTTGGAGAAGTCTTTAACAGCGGGTTTCCCCAATGTAATGTGTATTTTGGTTTCTTGACAGCTACTACCAAGTAATACTTTTTTTTTTTATGAATCCACCTAAAATAATCATTGACAACTTCACTTTTTTTCTCCCATCTATCATGATGTTGCTTAGTGAATGGTCCAGTAGTGAGGACTTTTGTTTTCTTAATGTTGAGATATCATCCATATTGAGAAGACTATATGTAATCTTTTTCTTTTTTAACAAAAAATCTTAATAAGTACTCTTTTTCATATTTAGAAAAACATCAGTCTTAAAAGCCTACAGTACCCAGTAGTCCCAGGAGGTCTCATATCCAAGTACTAACCAGGCCCGATCCAGCTTAGCTTACAAAATTAGGTGTATTCAGGGTGGTAAGGTTGTAGACTGTGGTCTTTGATTTTCTTCCATAGTAAGAAAATCTTCCCATCTTTTCCACTTTGTGTTAGCAAAGTTATGTCATCTGTATAATGCATGTTGTTGATGGGTTTTCAGAGAACTCTTTCTTGGTCTGTGTTTAAGTTTTGCATGAACACAATTAAGTATTCTAGGATTGAGCATCTACCAGTTATTTTTGGTACAATGACTTTGTATTCCTTCAGCTTCTTTTGGTGCTTCCTGATATTTCAAGATTTTTTATAGATTTCTTCACTATTGTAACTTGTGTCTTTTAATTAATTCTTAACCTTTCTTTTTGTTTTTAAATTTTATTTTAATGAAAGTTTACAGAGACTTTGGATTTCCATTCATTCATTGTTGCACTTTTCTCCCTGTCCATCCTTCCCCCCAATTTGCTTTTCTTTTTGAAAAGTAAAAGAAAAATTTCTTTCATTGTTATTCAATCCCTCCCCCCAAGTCCACTCCACTATGCTACCTTCATTCTGGACTCCTATCATAACAATAATATCTAATCATGTATCCCGTTGAAACAGTTCTATCCCTCATCTGTTTCAGTTCCGTATACATTATTCATCCCATCTTTCTCAGTCTTCCCCCAACCCTGATGTCAGTCCTCTTTTATAACCGTGGCTTTATGCCATATTTGTCTATTTTTTGTGACTGAGATATTTCACACTCATCATAATGTCCTCCAGAGTCACCCATTTTGAATAATATTTCTTGAGTTCCTTGTTTTTCAATGCAGCATAATATTCCATTGTGCGAATATACCACAGCTTCTCTAGCCATTCGTTTGTTGATGGGCACTTAGGTTGTTTCTAACTCCTTGCTATTGTGAATAAAACCGCAATAAACATGGGTGTGCATATATCTGCTTGGTGGCAGTTATGATCTCTTTGGGGTATATTCCCAGTAGTGGAATTGCAGGGTCAAATGGTATTTCTAGTTGCAATTTTTTGAGAAAGCGCCATACAGCCATCTGTAGTGGTTCCACCATTTTACACTCCCACCAACAATGAATAAGGGTTCCAGTTTCTCCACAACATCGCCAGTATTTGTTGCTTGCTGTTCTGTTAAATTTTGCTGTTCTGACTGGGGTGAGATGATATCTCATAGTTGTTTTGATTTGCATCTCTCTTTGAGCTAGGGATTTTGAGCATTTCTTCATGTGTTTGTTGGCCATCTGAATGTCTTCTTTGGTGAAATGTCTGTTCATATCCTGTGCCCATTTTTCATTTGGGTTATTTATCTTGTTGGGGTGCCATTCTTTACCTCTTTCAACATGAGAAATACTGGGTATATTCCTGACTTTTGCTTTGTTAACTAACTTCAGCTCTTTGTACATTTCATTAAAATACTTAATGTTCTTGAGCTACCCTCTGAAATCTGTTCCGCACTTGATGATTTCTTTAGTTTGCTTTAGCCATTCTACATTAAGGAGCAACTTTCAGAGTCTCTGCTGCCATCCATATTGGTCTTTTGCTTTCTTGAGGGAGCTCTGGTGGCCTAGTCTGTAGGGAGTTGTGCTGTTAACCCAAAGGCTGTGCCTCTTTGGCAGTTTGAATCCACCAGCAGTTGTGAGGATAAAGGGACAATCTGCTGGGCAATTTATAGCCTCAGAAGCCCAGTGGAGAATCAGCTGTGAGTCCATTCAGACTCCACAGTAATGGATGGATATTGCTTTCTTTATATATATTTTTATGTCACCTCATAATACTCAAGGTAATATCTATGTGAGATATACTGAAGATCATATTTGATGGTCATGTGGCCTTTTTTTTCAGCTTGAACTTGTTTGTATGGGTTTGGTTGGGGTTTTTTTTCTTATTTTGTTGATGTCTAGCTATCAGCTTGAACTTGTTTAAGAGCAATTAATGGTTTTGTCCACACTTACCTTCTGGACTTATTCTAATTGATGGTACTGAGCTTCTCTGTTGTCTTTTTCCATAAATGTACTTGATTTGATTCCTATCTATTCGATCAGGTGAGCTTCATGAGTATAATTGCCATTTTTGTGTTTTTAAAATAGTATTTGCAATGAATAAAATTCTAATCTTGAAAAATTCTATCTTGTCATCTTTGGCACCAGTCATATATTTTAGTTACTGATCCTCTTTTGTTTCCACTTTTGTATTGTAATTATCAGTGAATCTTGATTCCATATTTGATAAATTTCATGTAGCAGAAGTTGAGAAAAATCTTTACTTTCTTCATTTTTGGCCTTTGTGTTTGATGCACAAATTTGTATGGTCACATTAACTGGTCTTCATTGATAGTGTTGCGCTTCAGGCTAAATCTTCAGATAGTTGGGGTTTTGAGAGGGGGGTTTTCATAATATGTGCAGCACCATTCTTCAATGTGCAAGTCAAAGCATGTCAGGTACAACTTCAGCAACCCTGGGATCAACAGACCTGAATCCTGTCCTATTCTGTGTCTGTCCTAATTGAGGTTCCTCCCTTCTTTTGCTTACCCTCCACCTTTCCAAGCATGGTCCGAACACAATAGACTGTATATTTGTCCTATTCAGAATGGCCAGTACCAGTCACTTCCAGCTCAGCAATGCCTAGGACATTGATCTTTATGCAATCCCATTCATTTTAGGCAACTCCCAGTTCCTGTAGTCTTATTTTTTTGTACCATTAATTCTAATTATTGTAAGATTTCTGGAGGTATGTCTTCTCATTTTGAATCATGTTGATTTCCAAGTCTTTTTTCCTCATCTTTTTTAGTCTGGAAGCCCCACTGAACCCTCTCTACCATGAGGAGTAATGTTCTGGTATTTTAAAATGCCTGCAGCATACTCCCAGCATCAAAGCAACACACAACTCATAATCTGATAGAGTGATGGATAAGACGTGACCATTGAAGAAAACTCTGTGTAATTAGACATGTTCAGCAGTGTTAAGTTTATTTGTGATAGTAATACCATGTTGCAGTAATGCTTTTGGAGACATTTTTTGAGAAATTACTGGGACTAGATAGGTTTAATCTTTTGATGTTCATTTAACACAAAGGTTATAGTCTTGTGATTAATTTATTTTCTTTTTTTAAAAAAAGGAATCTCTCCTAGATTTAGGATATATCAGGGAAACAAATTGCAGTTGACTCAGATGTGATTATATTAACTTATGTGGTGCAGCATACATATCAGCGGTAATAATTATAAAATTAACTCACACTGTGACATATTAAAATTTCAGGTACAGAAATTCCTAAAAAAGGTTAATGAAACCTTGGATGAGGAAGCCTCCCAAAAGCCTTTTTCTCATGACAGCATGCAAGACACTTGCACAAGTAGTGATTCAGAGGGACAAGAGTCTCTTACAAAAGGTGATGACCCACTGGAGTCTAGTAATACAGAACCTGACAAGGTTCAGCCTGTACCTTTACATGATGAATTTGATGCAGAAAAAAATGGAGGTGTGAGCATAGTAGGAGCTGATGAATTTCAAACAGAAGACAACAGAGAAGACAACGTTGTAACAATTGCACCGGAGAACCAGGATTGTGCTTCACAGATTTTACCCGACTATCTTCAGGTAGAAGGTCAAGGTAAGACTATGCCTCAACTTGCTGTTGGACTTAGAATTGTTCTTTAATATTATTCCTCTCATTCTCTCTCTTGAAGCATCTATACTTAATTTCTACTACTATTTATTTTAAGTTGCAAAAATAAGAAAAAGATATACGGTAAAGATTATATTTGAAATCTTGGCTGAGCAAGCATGATTATGTTACATGTGAAGCAGGTGGGAAATGACATATGAGTACTGCTTTCTATGCCATTCCAGTTGGTCTCTCTTTTTTTTTTTGGTTTTGTTTTTCTGCTCCATTTCTGGCACATTGGCATAAAAAGGCATTATCACCATTAGCTTTAATGAATAAGGAATGGTAACATTTTTCACTCATTAATGCTGAATTTTTTTTATAAAAATGTTCATTTTTTAATATGTAGTAAAGTATACATAAGAAAACATTCACTACTGTAGTCATTTTCAAGTAAATGGTCCATTGATACTATGCATGAAAGAACCAACTGTGTTTTGCTTTCAAAACTTCCACATTCCATACAGAAACTCCATACCCGTAAGTAGTGTCTGAGCTGAGTACTGTAGAAGAGCAAAGCCCGTGGAATGTGTTTATACATGCACAGCAGGCCCCTCACAGAGAGGGAAACAGTGCACGTAGCTGTGTGGCAGGGAAGTCCCACATCCCTAGTCAGGTTGCAGGGACAGAGGATGGCAAGGCAGGTGCATGTTTCAGAGAAAGGACAATTTTACCTCAAATCTATCTCTCTGTATATTGGGTGTAGGCCAAATCGTCAAAAAATTCCCCTTTCAACCTAATGGCCTAGCCAAATGACCTGTAAACCATCCCAAGGAAGAACTCCCTGATTCCTCTAAATCTTTCTGTCTGCACATTTAGTTATTTAGGTAAATTATATTTTATAAATGGAATTGTATAATGTTTGTCCTTATATCTCTCATTTATTTCACTTAGTATATGTTTTCAGAGTTTGTGTCATGATAACAGATTTTTTAAGAAATGAAAGGAGCAGGCCGTTCAAATATCCCAGCATGAAAGACAGGCAGTCTCTTCCTGTGCCATGATAGCCTCTGAAAACTTACCGTAGTGTCTGTAAATTTCCAATTTGATGGCAATGAGAGAAAAAGATGAACTTAAATAATATTCCATTATTATCACTAAAAGTTATAAAAATGTAGTGGAACTCATGAAGATGGACATTTTAGGCATTAGTGAGATGAGTAGACTGGCAGTGGCCACTTTGAATCAAATAGTTTACATGATCTGCTATGCTGGGAGTGAAAACTATGTTTATAAATTTTGATATATATATATATATATATGAGGAATAATGGTGTTGCATTCATAGTAAGGCAATTTATGATTCTGTTGTAAAGTACAATGTTGTGAGTGATGGGATACTATAGGGACACCATTACTTACAAAAGTGGAGGGTCAGCAAAAGAGAGGAATTCCCTCAGTGAGATGTATTGACACAGTGACTGCAGCAGTGGGCTCACGTGTGTCAGAGATGATGAGGATGGCACAGGATAGGACAGGGTTTCAGATTTATTGTTCATAGGGTTGCTATGAGTTGTACTCCACTTGATGGCACCTTAGAACATCTTTAAGAACCAAATATCCTACTTTTAATTTTTGTCAGCCATCTTTTCTTACTTCATTGTAACAACTCTTTTAACTTTCTGTGCTGCTGTTTATAATCTCCACAGCACTGAAACTAAATAATGAAACTGATAAAAACTGTTTGTGTAGGAAGGTCTCTGACTAAGTAAGATCCTTTATAGGAAATGGGTGGTTGTGACCTCTGTTTCAGTTTGTCAGAAGACATAACCTCCAAATTACTTGAATCCCTTGTTACAGTCACCTTGTTGACGTATCTTACATGTTGAAGGACAGGATTATTTATTACGTTTAATTTTTTCATATTTTTGTATTATAGAGCACAGAACTCCTTCGTTGGATTTTCTTGCCTATGAATTTTACGGAGCCAGATCACCAAACCTTCCACAGCACAGCTGATAGGTTCTAGCTGACATTAAAGTTAGGCACCAAAAGAAAATCATTACACCACCTAGGAAACCTAGTGTTAGGTGCCATTAAGTCAACTATAACTCATAGCAAATCTATGAACAGCAGATCTGAACCTTGCCCTCTCCTGTGCCGTCCTCACGATCTCTAACACAGGATCAGGTATGTCGGAGATGGTAAGGATGGCACAGGAGAGGGCAAGTTTCAAGTCTTCTTCAGGTGACTGAATATCATTCAGTTTGGCAGCACATGACAATATTGTTATAGTCAGTGGGTTAATCCATCTTGTTGAGGGTCTTCCTTTCTTTCTCTGACCCAAACTTTTCCCAACATAATGTCTTTTTACTGGAACTGGCCCCTTTTTGAAAACATGTGAGACTAAGAGAACTGCCAGAAGTCCAGGCTGGGTTTAGAAGGGGTTGTGGTACTAGGGATATTGTTGCTGATGTTAGATGGATCTTAGCTGAAAGCAGAGAATACCAGAAGAATGTCTATCTGTGTTTCATTGATTATGCAAAGGCATTTGACTGTGTGGATCATAACAAACTGTGGCTGACACTGAGAGGAATGGGAATCCCAGAACACTTGATCGTTCTAATGCAAAACCTATACTTGGACCAGGAGGCAGTCGTCAGAACAGAGCAAGGAAACACTGCATGGTTCAAAATTGGGAAGGGCGTACGCCAGGGACATGTCCTGTCTCCATACCTTTTCAACCTGTATGCAGAAGAGATTATCCGGGAGGCTGGGCTCTATGAGGAGAAGTGTGGAGTCAGGATTGGTGGAAGATCTGTCAACAATCTGCGTTATGCAGATGACACAACCCTGCTTGCTGAAACTGAGGAGGACCTGAAGCGCTTTCTGCAAAGGGTTAGGGACTTCAGCCTTCAATATGGATTGAGGCTCAGTGTCAAGAAGACAAAGATTCTCACCACTGGACCAATTGGCAGCATCAGGATGGATGGTGAAGAGATTGAGATTGTTCACAGCTTTAGTTTGCTTGGCTCCACAGTCAGTACTCTTGGTACCAGTGTCTAGGAAATTAAAAGACGTATTGCAGCGGGAAAATCTGCTGTTAGGGACCTTTCCACAGTTCTGAAGAGCAATGGTGTCGCTGGAGACCAAGGTGCATCTGATATGGGCCATGGTCTTTGCAATCACTTGTTATGCATCAGAGAGTTGGACAATGACGAAGGAGGATAGAAGGAGACTTGAAGCCTTTGGGCTGTGGTGCTGGAGAAGAGTGTTGAATATACCATGGACTGCTAGGAGAACAAACATGTTTGTCCTAGAGAAGGTGAAGCCGGAATCCTCCTTGGAGTCAAGGATTCCGAAGCTTCGTCTGACATATTTTGGGCATGTTGCAAGGAGGGACTGGTCCTTGGAGAGGGACATCATGTTTGACAGAGTGGAAGGATGGCTAGGTTGACACAGGATAGAACAGCGTTTAGAGCTCTTGTGCATAGGGTCGCTATGAGTCGCAAACAACTCAATGGCACATAACAACAACATGGACTCCTAGAAAACAAACAGATTCATCCTGGAGAGGATTAAACCGGGCGACTCCTTGGAGGCAAGGATTCTGAGGCTTTGTCTAACATACATGGAGAGGGACATGCTTGGGAGGGTGGAGGCACAGTGCAGGAGAGGAAGGCCATCTCTGAGGTGGATTGATTCAGTGACTGGGGTAATTGGGATGGGTGTATCGGAGACAGTGCGATTGGCACAGGACAGAACAGAGTTTAGGGCTGTTGTACATTGGGTCACTATGAGTCGCAAGCGACTCGAGGGCACATAACAACAACAACATATTTCACCTTCCTCGCCTGCTAGGAGCACCTTAGCTGCGCATTCTCCAACACATGTCTGTTTGTTCTCTTGGCTATCCATGGGATGTTCTGCATACTTCTTCAACACCACAGCTCAAAGGCATCAATTCTTCCTCTATCATCCTTACTCATTTCCTGATTTCCAACTAAAATCCACTGCCTTCAAGTCAATAACAATTCATATTGACCCTCCATCAGTTCTCCAAGGCTGTGCATCTTTATGGAAGGGGATTTCACATTATTTTTATATACAGTGCTTTTTTTTTTCCCCTCAGCCAGATTGTAACTGCCAAACTTTCAGTCATCTTCATCCAGTCATACTACTATGCCACCAAGTTTCCCTAGTATGAGAAAATTCCTTAATCTATTCATTCCTTTTTACTGAGGAATTAACATTTTGAGTTTACAGAGTTGTCTAAGCTCCCAGTACTGATAAGGAGAGAATTGGGGACCATAATGACACTTCTCTTTCCACTGTAAGTACCCTCCTGTTCTGAGGGATACATGAATATGCTGAGTCCAGTCCAAAGGTGAAATTGTTTGTGTGGCAACACCTTAGATAAATTCACCTGGTGGTTTTTTTCCTGGTGAGCATCTGTATTCTTTGCATGGTTTTGTTTGCTTTTTTTTTTAGCTGAGGTGAAGAAGAATAAAAGAAAGAAGAAAAATAAGAACAGAAAGGTAACTTGTCTACCTCCTGAGATAGCTGCTGATCCTGAGCTAATAAAGTACTGGGTCCAGAGGTACCGGCTCTTCTCCCGCTTTGATGATGGAATTAAATTGGACAGAGGTAAGATATATACATATGTTTAACTTTGTTAACTTCATTTTAAAACTATTTTGAACTTACAGAAAAGTTACAGTACAGAGAATTTTCATAACACCTTTAACTAGATTTACCTATTTTTCACATTTATTACTCTATAAGCATGTGTTTCTTTTTGTTCTGATAGTTGAATATAAATTGCACATGATGTTGCTACCCTTCAGTAATTTTTCTTGTATTTCTGGAGAATAAGGATATTTTCTCGTGTGAAAATAAAATTACCAAATTTTGGAAATGTGACAGTGTAACAGTATTATAATCCCTAGTCTATATTGCCATTCTGGCAGTTGATCTGGTCATGTCCTTAATAGCACTTTTTTTGTCAAGGATCATTTGCATTGCATTTGGTTTTATGATTTTCATACTTTCCTCTAATCTGAAGCATTCTCTCAGCCTTTGTGGTCTTCCACATCATCAACTTTTAGAATAATTATTATTCTAACCTTTTATTTTTATTTGAATGAAAATTTACGGAGCAAGTTGGTTTTCCATTCTATAATCTATACACTTTCTGTTTTTTGATGTTGATTACAGTGTCTGTGTTGTAAAAGCTCTCTCCTCGCCACCTCCATGATTCCCACATCCTTAGTCCTTTCTATTCCTGCCTGCCTTCTGAGTTTTATCCTTTTAATACTGTCCTTTTGACCTTGAAGCCCTTCTAAGAAAATAGACATTTCTTCCGCTGAGAAAAGATTGCATATTGTATTCCCCTTTTCCTCCAGTGACACAGACTCTGATTTCTGAAATGATGAAGGTACTACCTTTTCTATAGTTTATGCTGCTCGAAAAGCTATCTGCTTGCTTTTCCCAGTGGAAGAATTTTCCAGTATTCAGAACAAATCTTTTTCACTCTTCTCTAGTACAATTGAAGTATTTAGGAAATGTAACAAAATTTGGGAAGTTAGCCAATTAGAATAGATAACTTTTCATTTTATACAGTTGTTATTGTGTGCCTTTGAGTCAGAACTGACCCATAGCTGACCCTCTACTAGATTTTTAGAGACAGTAAATCAAGCAGGAGGAGATTGTCCATCCTTTTCCCCCCAGCACAACTGGTAAATTCGAATTGTGTGCCTTTGGGATTGCAGTGCAGTCCTTATCACTAGGCCGTGGAAGATTGTAAATGCCTAAAATAGCAAAACCAAAATTATATTCTGTTTTTAAAGAGATGGAAGTATATTCCAAAGGAACCCCTTAAGAATGGAAGGAGATTGCATCTGTGGAAGTTAAAGATAGTGCTGCTTTATTTAATAGGCTTTATAAAACATTTATTTTAATCTTTTGCTTTTCAAGGAGAGGAGCAAAGGGTGGGGGAGGGGTTTGTGCGGGGAGAAGGGTGCAACAGTGAATGAATGGAATCCCAAAGTCTCTGTAGATGTTCATTAAAATGAAAAATAAACAACCTAAATTTAAAAAAATTTTAAAAAAGTAATCTGAATAATGTATAGTGTTTTTTAAAATCGAAACTAAGGTTTTTGATGAAGTGTGTAATAAATGCATGTTATGTTTATGCCTGAAAAACTTGCTGAAAGTAAGCATGCTAACAGACACTGTCCCTTGTCAGAGGGCTGGTTTTCCGTTACTCCTGAGAAGATAGCAGAGCACATTGCTGGCCGTGTCAGTCAGTCCTTCCAGTGTGATGTCATCGTGGATGCGTTCTGTGGAGTTGGAGGAAATACTATTCAGTTTGCTTTAACAGGAAAGAGAGGTAATTAGCCACTAAAAGAAGAGAATTCCTATGTTTTGTTCATTCAGTAAATATTTGTTTTACTACTTTGCTGAGATTTAGTGCATAATTAATAGCTTAATTTCAATATTTAAAATAATGGTGAATCCAACCTATTGCCTTTGATTTGGGACCTCAGCCCTGCCATTTGCTAACTTCTTATAGCTTCTTAGCATCGTGGGAGAGCTGTTTTCATATTCAGTTATCAGAATGAAACTATTTTCCCCCCGAATTCACTCTTTTTTAGGTTTTGCCAGTAAGTCTTATCAATCCCTATCAGTCAGGAAAAACTTTACATTTTACCACCTAAAAGTGGTTTTTCTTACCTGTTTTGCAATTACTCGATCTTTTCTATCACTTTCTATGTATAGTAGTACATTCTGCAACATGTGCACTGCCCAGCCACCCCAGGGAGCCCGGGGCAGAGCCTCCAGGGACACAGTGCCTGCTTTGCTCCATCCCTTGGGCTTCCTTACTTGAGTGAGGTTTCCTGGGGACTGTTAGAGTACATTAAGCCCAGAGGTAACTATAAGTGCAGGTGCAAATCCCAAGATCTTGGACGCTGATGCACTTGGGAAGAGAACTGTATCCAAATCATATGACATCCTGTTTCCGAGAACTTAGTACATCTGTGTAGTTCAGTTCTACCACTACCATGTCTTTCTCACACCAATTCCTGGTAGGTTGGACCAGAACCTTATTTAAACCATGATTCACCAGGACCCAATACAGCATGTATACTATATGGTATCCACCTAAAGTCAAATTACATGTCCTGCTTCACAGAACACATAGTAGACATGAAGTAAACATGTAACATTTTGTATGTTTTATATGCAAGTTGACAAATTTGGTTTTGGAAGTTGTTCTTTTTGAGAAGGAAAATGTGTGTCTTTTTGAGATCTTTGCATTCTCGGCCTTTTTTACACTTAGCAACCTTCTCAGATGCCTGCCACCAGGCTTATGGACAGCGCTGCTGGCCCCATAGCAGCACTCACTAGGTGTTTGTGATTAATTGGTCTCTGACTCTACTAGATCATGAGGTTAGCCAAATTCAGGCCAAAGTTAAATGTGCCAGGTAAAAGTATGCTGTGATACAGACTGCTGTACAGAAAGAACTATTGTCGCCTGTTTTGGTAAAGCTAACTGAATGTAATAACTTTGAAAGCCAGGTTCTTGTGTCACTCTTTGAATACAACTCTTTCTCATAACCTCTGCAAATAAATCATTCTAAGAATTTTTAACTTAAGACTTTGTCACCATTATGCAGATTCCATATTGTATATAGGGCGAAGTATCTAAAAATACCCAAAATTCCATTTAATATTTAAAAACATTACTGTACAAAAGGTAGACAACTTGTTAGATGAACTGTTCTATTAATAATTACGAATCATTTTCTATAACTCATATATTTTTTAAATCCTTTTTAGTGATTGCCATTGATATTGATCCTGTGAAGATTGACCTAGCTCGCAACAATGCAGAAGTTTATGGAGTGGCAGACAAGATTGACTTTATCTGTGGAGATTTCCTGCTGCTGGCTTCTCAAGTAACAGCAGACGTCGTGTTCCTCAGCCCCCCTTGGGGAGGCCCAGACTACGCCACTGCAAAGATCTTTGACATTAAGACAATGATGTTTCCTGATGGATATCCTTTCAAAGTTCTGAGAGTTGGCACTTAATTGTTGTTGTAAGGAAGAGAGAGAGAGTGTGTGTGAGTGTGTGTGTGTTTGTGTGTGTAGAGGAGATAGGTAATTGCTAGTAGCTTATAATAAATTTGTTTAGATTACTTAGCATAAAAAGTAGGTGTAAAATTTAAATGGTGATTGATTCCCAGAAATAATGGCAAATCATACTTCCTTTCATAACTATTCCAAATTTCAAAGCAAGAGCTAGGAAGTGTTAAAGATGATTCAGAAATTGAATTTTTCCTCAAGTTCTCTCTCCTGGAGTGTCTGTGGCCATTCTACTCTCGTTGACTTGTGTGCTAATATTTTTCATATCTTCAATTTGTTGTTATTGTTACTCTTCCAAGACAGTGAAACAAACCCTTGTTTAATAAAGTATAGCATTTAGTGTTCCCCACTTTCCTCTTATTCCCCTGAGGAATCATCTCTTTGACTCTTTAACAGGAAACAATTAATTTCCTTGCTCCTTAAAACTCAGAATGTAGTCTACAATAACCAGTATCAGGCAATTTCATATTTTATTGAGATGAGAGGAGTTCCTGTGTGTTCCTGTCTCCTCTCTTTTTAAATTAGGAAATGCCTGCAGAAGGAAAGAACATACTGTCCCTTACTCTTAACTTTCTGTGACCAGGATAATTAACTCAGTAGACTTTTCTTCTAATCCCTGGTTTACCAAAGATCATTGTGCTATGAAATAGAAAGCTGCTCCTTCATTTTAATGTGGCATTAGAGCATTTAAACTTGAACTTCATTGTTGTTGTTAGGTGCCGTCAAGTCGCCTGCAACTCATAGTGACCCTATACATAACTCTAAACCCTGCTCTATCCTTTGCCAGTCTTACTGTCTCTGACATGCCTATCCCCATTACTCCAGTCACAGTATAGTTTAATGAATTTATTTAGGTTATGAGATAAGATAAAGAACCTATCTGTAATCAAAATAATTTAGTTATTCCTTAACTCCTCTGCACCTTTGAAATCTTCAGACTTTCCAAGAAGATTTCTAATAATATTGTTTATTTTCTTCCAAGAAATGCTGATATTGACCAGGTAAGCCGCCATTCTTAAAGAATGTCTATAAGCCTATAGAAGTTCTAGAAGAACTTCTTAACTGTTTTAACTCCCATAGCTCCTGGGGTTGTATGTATGTGTGTGATGGTACATATATTTATTTGTGTATCTGTTTTTCATTCCAAAGTTTTCATAATATGTATTCAAAGGGTGATTAAATAGGTTATATTTCAAAGCTGCATAGCCAATATCTGCCCCTACTGAAACCTTTCTGGAATACAAATAGTATATATTTCTGAAAATAGTCACCTAAACAGAAATGTTGTTGTTGTTGTTGTTGTTAGGTCCTTTTGAGTCAGCTAGCAACCCAGTGAACAACAGATCTGAACTGTGTCCTACCTTGTGCCATCCGTATTGTCCTTGACACACTTGAAACCATTGCTGCAATTACTTTGTCAATCCATGTAACTGAGGGTATTTCTCTCTATCGCTGACTCTCCACCTTTATAAGTATGATGTCCCCTCTCCAAGGACTAGCCTCTCTTAACAACGTGCCCAAAGTGTACGAGACAAAACTTCACCATCCTTGCCTCGAAGGAGCACTGTTGTTTCCCTTTATCTAAAACATAACTGCTTGTTCTTTGGCACAACATGGGACACTTAGCAGTCTTCTCTAACACAACTCAAAGGCATCGAATCTTCTCATCATCTTTATTCATGTCCAGCTCTCAGTCGGTGAATACAAACACAAATTTACAGTTTGTTGAATTGGTTAACTTCAATTCATAGCAACCCTATATTAATAGATCAAGATTTGCCTGCTCCTGTGCCATCTTCACCATATCCCCTGTGCTCAAGCCTGTTGTGCTTGTGTCTTTGTCAACCCTTCTTGTTAAGAGTCTTTCTCTTCTCCAACCTTCCACTTTCGCAAGAAAGCATAGTGTCCTTTTCCAGGAACTGATTCCTCCTGACAGCATGCCCAAAGTATGTGAGGCAAAGTCTTACCATCCTTGCCTCGGAGAATGTCACTTTAAAATAAATAAATGAATGAATGAGCATCTTCATGGCATTTTGCGTTTCTAACCAAAGACTCAACAGTCTGAATCTATCAGCTACTTCTCAAGAAAAAGATGGGCAGTTGCTACTCATTAAGAGTACATGGGTGTTCTCTTCTCCTAAAGAATTACAGCCTCAAAAATCAGATGGAGAGTAATCATGCCTTCAGTAGCATTCTTAACTAGCATCCCTGATCATTCAACCTGGTATAATTACCACTTCCCATACATTTAATGTTATCTTTATTCCTGTCTTTTGTTGTTTCTTTGACAGCCACACATTTACCAAATTTCTGCCACCCTCTCTAGTGAAAATCTTTTCTTTTGTTGTCTGAATTTCACTATGATGTTACAGCCATTGTTAGTTCTGTTTTGTTTCTTCGGCCTAGTGTGGAGTGGACTGGAAGGGAGCGCTGCCCAATGGTACACCATCTTCATGACCGTTGAGGAGTTTGAGCCTCTTGTGCCCATTTTGTCTTTCCAATTAACAATTTCTCTAATTTTCACTGGTCAAAAATGATATTCTTTTGCCAAATATGATGTTCTTTTCTGTCATCATTCTTGCCTGATGATATGTCCAAAGTAAGCAAGCTAAAGTTTTCTTCTTGGGTCTAAAGAATATTCTGGTTTATTTCATGAAATGCTTAGTATTGAACATATCGCAATTCAGATTTGCTAGGTCTGGGTTTTTCTTGTCTCTTCTATATCATACACTGAGAACTGGCCAAGTTCATCATTACCTCAGCTTTTGTTTGGGGTGTGTTTTGTTTTTACTCTGGAAACTTTTTCACCATCATCTCTTCAACTGTGTTCTCCTTACTATCCTTCTCCCGTATCCTGGGACATCAGTTTATGTTGTTGTCAGTCTTCCATATTTGTATTTTCTGATGTGTTGTCTCGTCTGTCTTGCTTTTTGGAGATCATCTGTATCTGGTTCTCCCAATTAATATGTTCACTGTTTATCTCAATTGTTGTGGTTTTATTTCTACAATTATATTCCCTATACTTAATATTTCTACATTGTTCTTAGCTTTCTTCTTTTGTGCTCTAATTTATCTATGTATATCTAGATATAGATATATTAGATATATTTTAGATTGGAACCTGAATCCTATTTGTTGTTTTTCTGTGAATTACTTAATGATCCTCAAGTGGTCTTATTTAACAGGAGACTTTTTTTGTCTGGGAGAGTTTTCAGTTCTTAGGTACATGTTGTTGTTGTTTATCATCAAGTTGGAACTGACTCATCGTTGACCCTCCAGCAGGTTTGTTTCTCCCACAGAAAAACTGGTGTATTTGAACCATGTTCCTACCACAAAGGCACTAGAGAAAGACCAATGAGTGTCAGCTCTGCTGTGCGTCAGAATCAGCTGTATGTTTGCAGATCGTCCTAATGTGTCACCCAGGCTCTTAGCCCCTGCCCCAGCCTTGTCCAATTCCAGCAGTGCCCTCTAGGTGTGAAATGACTGAGCTCTGTGCTTACTTAAGCCAGACACCACAAGACCACAGCTAATTATCTCACTCAATAGCATCTCAGGATGTGGCTCCCTTTTTTGTGGAGAAGCAGAACAGTGGTGACATTTCGTTGCTGTCTCTTTTCCTGAAGTGTCAGTCACCAACTTCTGGGGTTTAGAGTGGGCAGAATGAGAAAGTGATTGTCAGAGGTTGTCTCCCCACATTATCTACTCTGAGCACAGCATTAATTCCTATATGCCTTCATTTTACTCCTAAAAGTAGACCAGAGCTCCCCATTTTTGTGAGACCATGGAGAGGGAGGAGCAGAGCAGTTTCAACTCTCCAGTTTCCTTGTTTTCCCTCTACCCACCACGAACACAGTCATAACTCCCACTCCCTGCATACACACCGCCAAGTCATGCTTGCTGCCATATACCTGACCCTCACATACACAGTCATGACACAGACACCTTCAGTATAGCCTGGATCTCTCCAATGGTTTCTCAGTCTTCTGTTTTTATGTCTGCACATCAACCCTTGCTCCCTTTCTAGTGTCTCTTGTGTTGCTCTTGAGGCAATCAACACCCATGCTAGCTCAGCATCTTCCTTGGAGACAGAAAATAGGCACAGAAATAATGGTAAAAACATAAGTAAGTTTGTAATTATATGTCCCAGCTTTCTGTTGTTGACCTCCAAGAATGTTTTTGCATGATACAGAGTGTGAACTGGACTTCACAAGTAAAGAGGATTTCATTGTTAGAAATTGAAAGAAAGATAGCAGGACTGTTTTATGATCTCAAAATAGAAATATGTGAATTATATTAGGGCATCATACTTAAAACAATGACAAAACAGTCTAGCCTAAGTTTTAAATCCACCACTGTCTTTCTAGTGATAGTAATTAGCCTTGAGGTACCTCTGAGGAGTCAATTAAATAAGTAGGTAAAGTCACTCCCAGAGACTCTAGCCCTTCATCCTTCAATAGTCTCATGCATATTATAAAGTTATTGTGGAAAAACTTTCTGTGTTAGTAAGACTTGAAAGATTATCAGTGATATTGTCTCACTGTGGTACCGTATGGGTTGTTGGACACCATCCCATTAGTACTTCAAATACAAGGCCTGGTCACGTATGGCAGACATGGTTCAGTGGAACTTCCGGACTGTGAGACTAAGGAGGAAGCCGTGCTGGCCAGCCATTTCTGAAATGCTGGTCCTTAAAAACCCTGAGAGTAACTGCGAGCCTTGTCTAATATAGTGCCTGAATCTGAGACCTAATGTGGAAGTTAATTGTTGTTGATTCTGACTCATAGTGGCTTGTAGGGCAGATTAGAACTCTCCATGGCATGTTTGAGTCTCTGCATCTTTACTGAACCTGATTGCTGCATCTTTCTTTGTTGGAGCAGCTAATGGTTTCCACTTTGTGGTTAGCCATTTAGCCCACTGTACCTCCATTGTTCCTTTCTTTAAATAAATGACTCGCTTAAAGGAATTGGAGAACAACAGCTTGGTTTTCTTGAATTCTAATATATATCTATTTTTCACATATTCACATTTTACACATCATATCGTATTATAATCTACTTAATTTGAAAGTTTACTTTCCTCCATAGTAATATATTATGCTATCTGTGAAGCACCATGTAGTCAAGAAAATGTTATATGTATACTCCTTTTCTCATGTATATTTAGGGTTTTTTGTTGTTGTTTTGGGAGAGCTTAGTTTAACAACTCATGTGTTTTTGTTAAGTCAGAGGCGACTCATAGCAACTCTATGAACAAAAGTCCTCAACACTTGTTGTCATAGAGAAGTTATTGTAAAACATTGTGGATATGTGGGCTGAAATGTCTTTTTTGTTAAAGGTAAAATTCTTTATTTTGACCCTGTGAAAAATCTGACTGGCTCAAAAATATCAGTGGCTATTATAAACTTTTCCTTATTAAGAAACATTAGTGTGTATATTTATGTGTTTTATATCTTTGCCACTGGATTTGACTTTTGATTTTAACTTTGCTGATTGTTACAAAGCCACACATAAGTTAAACTTCTCCCCTCGAAGCAAACCCCGCACTTGGCAGTCTACCTCCTGGTTTCTGAGACTGTGACTGCTGTACTTTTCAGAGCAGCAGTTAGATTGGAACCACTGAGTTTTTGTTTAGCAGCCCAACACACAATGAACTACATTGTTATTTATTAATAATGTTAATTTTTTTCTTTTATGAATGTAGAATGATTTATTATTTCTTCCCTGATTTTCTATCTGTGACATTTCCTTGCAAATTAGAGAAAGTTGAAATACCTTAAAATACACACTCACTGATAAATGCACAATAAATTTTACTTGCTGTAATATGCTACTATGGTATATAATATCACTGTTACTAGATTCTCTGAACCCTCTAAACTAAAACTAGACTCATCTGTCTTTGTGAAATATGCACTACCGTGTTGTCAGTGCAGTTACAGACTTGCAGGTCTCATACTTGTACCTGCCACTAGTCATTTGGATCACCTATATCTGTGCCTTATTGTCTTAGTCTACTCAGGACTCCACCAAATTTCCCCTTGTATTTTTTTTTCCTCACCTAGCATAATGACCTTTTATTTTGTTTTCTTGGTTTTCCTTCAAGCAGTCATAAACATTTTTGTTTTATAACATTAGTGACAATTGCACAATGCTATTATTTACATCTTAGCAAATCCTTAGATGTATCCTGCCTTTCTCTTATCCTAGCCATTCAACCACTAATTCTGCCCTCTTCCCTCTCATCACTGTCAACCCTTATCTTATTGCTACCTGGAGAAGCTGTTCTCTGGCATGTAATCATGGGGTAAAGAGAATATTTTCAAGTTAATAGGCTTCTGAGGGATCAGATGGAGAAAATTTCGCACCCAAATAGATCAATATTTTGTATAAAAGTTTAGGGTAAAACATTTTTAATTTGGAGTGTTAAGCATTATTTTATGGAACAAAAGAGCATTAGAAGCCAGCTGCCCGTGCTTTATCTGGCATCCTTTTGATGTGACGGTGGAGAGTGGCCTGTGCTTTGGATCATTGAAGGATTTGCTTGCAGTGTTCCATTGTTCTTTGCTATCATGTCAGTTCAGTGACTTACAGGGAAGTGTAGAACTGCCCCTAAACATTTCCTGAGCTGTAATCTTTTCATGAGCAGATGACCAGATCTTTCTCCCATGGAGTGAGTTCAAGCTTCTGACCTTTCTGTTGGTAGACAAGAACTTAACCATCGTGACTTGGGTCAGGCTCATAGCGACCCCTCCATCAGGTTTCTGAAGCTGTATATCTTTACAAAGACTGCCTCTCTTTCTTCCTTAGAGCAACTGGTGGATATAAACTGCTGACTAAACTTTGACTTGGCAGTCAGATGCATTATGCAGAATCCCACAAGGGCTCCTTCTCATTGTGTTCCAGTATTCTCAAAAAGGGTGAACGGGTAGAGAAATTGAGCCAAATTTAGAGAACTACAGAAGACAGAAATTAGAGATGGAAAAGTAGAGAGTACTGCCTGCAGTCCTCTTGAGGGTGGCAGTCAGATCTGTCTCGTTTTCTGCTGTACTCCAAATCCCCTAACACATACTCAGCAAATAGCTTTAAAGGAATCGGAGTATAAGATGCAGTGGTAAAGAGAAGGACATTTTTTTCCAGAAAGCAATTACTCTTCAGAATTTTGTTAGTAGATTAGCCTGATGTTTGAGATGGATTTGTTCACTGTCCCTTCTCCTCTGGGTTTCTGAGCTTCTGACATTGAAAAACAGTGTTCTATGCACGGTTGCAGTGGTTTCCCTGCTGTCCCAGTGTCTCTGAAGCAGCAAGGATTTTGGCCACACGTGTTATTATCTGAGATGACAGCATTTGGAGGCTTCATGTTTTTGTTTATAAAGTTAACTTATACCTATATCTGGTGGTTATTGTGTCACCCTGCAGACTGAAAGGTAGTTTATCCATGTGCAATAAGCTGTTTTACAGAAGGAGGGAAAAGAGTTAGTAAGCCTCAGATACCAGATGAGGGTCCCTATGAGTTATATTCCATTCATTGGATGTGGGAAAAGCCTTGAACTAAAAGCTAGAGTGTTAAAGCTACAAAAGGGTACAAAAAAAAATCTGGAAATAATTTTTTTTCTTTTTAATTTTTATTATTATTAATTTCAATGAACTTCTACAGAGATTTTGGAATTCCATTTTTACCCTCTTGTAGCTTTAACATTTATTGTATTTCTTATTCTCTTTTATGACAAATATAATATCTGTAGTTATAATCTGGCCATAAATCACATAAATTATATATTATAAAGTCCAGGATGACAGAATATTTATTGTGAAATTTCACAAGATTTTTTAAGAATTAGGAAAACAACTTAAAAAAATTGAAAGAAAAAAATAAAATGAACAAAAAAAAAATTGAAAGAATTATTCACTTTCACTTTTTATGGGGTGAAACACCCCCACATTTTTCTGAATATAATTTAAATCACAATTACTATAGAAGTAAATTGTGAAAATATTTTTCAAACAACCATCTCTTCACAAAAAAAAAATATCATCATGAAAGTATAACTATGTTTATTTCCATTGTTTTTATAAGTAAATTGTTGAGTCTTTCTGGTTAAAAAAAAAAGCTAGAGTGTTTGATAAAACACTGTAAATAAAAAATTTGAAACTGAGCTTATGTGACTTCTTTTTTTAGGTGGCATCCTTAGCTGGACCTGGAGGGGAAGTGGAAATTGAGCAAAATTTTCTTAACAATAAATTGAAGACAATCACTGCTTATTTTGGTGACTTGATCCAAAGAGCAGCCTCTGAAACTTAGCTGAAGTGACATGAGGAGAAAAGATTACATCATGGTGAGAAAGCCCCTCAGATGAAAACACCTGGATTTTTTTTCTTGTATTCACTGATGTTAATTTTTTTTATTTTCATGAATTATGATTTTATTAAATATATTTTATTGTTAAGTGTAGTGAGATAATTTTTGTTCGTGGTGACCCCATATGACCGTAAACTGTCAAAAATTAATCCTAAAAGCCCTCCAAATCCTTCCCCTACTTATCCTTCATTATATTTCTTTAGATGCAATGTTTATACACCCTTAACCCTCATTTCTAAAAGAAAAACAATTGAAACTATCAACAAAACTAGGAGTTGGTTCTTTGAAAAGGTCAACAAAATCGATAAA